CTCTGAGTGGATTACGCATGGCCCTGAGTGGAGGAGGCGTGGCCCTGAGTGAGTGAGGCGTGGCTCTGCATGGAGGAGGTGTGGCCTTGAGTGAGTGAGGCTTGGCTCTGACTGGATGAGGCGTGGCCCTGAGTGAGTGAGGCATGGTTCTGATTGGAGGGGGTGTGGCCCTAAGTGAGTGAGGCTTGGCTCTGACTGGATGAGGTGTGGCCCTGAGTGAGTGAGGCGTGGCCCTGGGCAGATGTATGGGGCAAGGTATCCATGTGCACATGCAACGTGTCCCTGCACCCAGTCTCTTGAACTTTTCCTGATTGTGGATGATCTGGCCATTTATTTATTCTCTACTTTTACTTCTGCTGAACGATCAATAAGGGTGAATGTATCCAGAGACATGCTCCTTGCATTCTTCATGTTTCTATACCAGAATGAAACAGCTTGACTTAATTACACCACCAATCAATCATCGTAATTTAAGGGGGAAATTCTTCTCCTAAGAGCTGAGTTATATGCGGCATCCAGCTCTCAGCATGGTGTACAACATCAGCAAGAGCGATAGCAAAATCTCAATTATAAAATCTTCTGACACAAGGCGTCCCATTACCCAGATCCAGGCTGCTGATTCATCAAGCAGGGAGACTCCACACTTCCTAAATCGTTTCCTTTCTCATCAGCTCACATGGTACAAATCAGGCGGAGAGAAATGGACAGAATTGTACATAATTGTCAGTCGTGTCCCTTGGTTTTTCTCGCCTAACTAGCCTGTGAGAGTGCAGATGTGAGGTAACAATGATCCCATGATCCCAGTTCTGCTTGGGAAACCAGACCCATTGTTAAGAAAACTGTCCCAAGACCCGCTTGCTACACTGGCAGCATCACATCAGTGACATGACCTGACCTGACCTCTGACCCTGTTCTGTCTCTCAGCTGCATATTTTTTGCAAACTTTGTCTTGTGTCTTGAACATTGCTGCCTCACCATCTGCTTCCTTCAGCCTGCTGATGACGGCAGTGACAGCTTGCTCTCTGGTGCTGAAATTTTGACAGTCCCTCAATTTGGTTGTCAGATACTGCAGGTAAGACAGAATATGAGGGAAAACCTGTGAAACTCACCAGGCCATAAGTTTTAGGCCAGAGAGAGGGACTATCCCCCTGCTCAATGTACTGTATACGTGGCAATACAATGAAATGATGAATAGAGGCAGAATTACTCTAATGGATGATGTATCCACAACACTGTAGATTCAGCTGTCAGTCATAAATGCCCCTTTTGTGTTTGTTTGTGTTTCATATGTAAGACATTTTATCCAGCTGTTTATTAATGCAGAATGACTTATTCAGCTTGCTGTCATCATTACTGGGGACATTTTTCTGTGCCCACATGCTTGCTGAGAAAAGGCCTCAGAAATATTTTGTTCCGGCCATGGTGGGCAGAGACTCCCTTATGGGGACCGGTTTCCTGGTCCCCATAAGGGAAAACTCTATTTTATAAAAATCGGTGACTGCTATGAAAAAACTAAAAATGCAAAAACTCTTGTATTTTGTTAGGTTACTTATGGTTATGGTTAGGGCAGGGTGGGGGTTAAGGTTGTCATAGTTAGCGTTAGCATTTTTCCCATTGAAATGAATGAGCGGTCCCCATAAGGATATGTTTACCCTACATGTGCGTGCGTGCGTGTGTGTGTGTGTGTGTGTGTGTGTGTGTTGAATGATCTAGTTTTTGTCTTTACGTGAATACCAAATGTCACTGGGACAAGAAATATCCAAAAGAACTTTTTAAAATTATAATACACATTATATGGACAAAAGTATTGGGACACCAGGCCATTACACATACAGGAACTTTTATGACATCACATTCTAAATCCATAGGCATCAGAATGGAGTTGCTCCCCCCTTTGCAGGTATAACAGCCGCTGCTCTTCTGGGGAGACCTCCCACAAGATTTTGGAGTGTGTCTGTGAGAATGTTTGCCCAATCATCCAGAAGAGCATTAGTGAGGTCGGGCAGTGACATTGGACGTGAAGGCCTGGCTCACAATCTCCATTCTAGCTCATCCCAAAGGTGTTTGATGGGGTTTAGGCCAGGGGTCTGTGCGGGTCAGTCAAGTTCTTCCACACCAAACTCACCCAACCATGTCTGGACTTTGCTCTGCGCACTGGGGCACAGTCGCGGTGGAACAGAAAAAGGCCTTCCCCAAACTGCTCCCACAAAGTTGGAAGCACAGAATTGTCAAAAATGTCTTGGTTTGCTGAAGCATTAAGAATTCCCTTCACTGGAACTAACCCAACTCCTGAAAAACAACCCCATACCATTATCCCTCCTCCACCAAACTTTACAGCTGGCACAATGCAGTCAGGCAGGTAACGTTCTCCTGGTATCTGCCAAACCCAGACTTTTCCATCAGACTGTCAGTCAGAGAAGCGTGATTCATCACTCCACAAAACATGTTTCCACTGTTCCAGAGTTCAGTGGCAGTGTGCTTTAGACCACTCCATCCAATGCTTGGCATTGTGCTTGGTGATGTGAGGCTTGCATGCAGCTGCTCGGCCATGGAAGCCCATTCCATGAAGCTCCTGGTGCACAGTTTTTGTGTTGCGGTTAATGCCAGAGGAAGTTTGGAACTCTGCAGTTAATGAGTCAACAGAGCTGAGTCAACGTGGCTGCGTTTCTGTTATTCCTAAATGCTTCCACTTTGCAATAATACCACTTACAGTTGACTGCAGAATATCTAGCAGGGAAGAAATCTCACGATCTGACATTGCAAAGGTGGCATCCTATGACAGCACCATGCTTTAATTCACTGAGCTCTTCAGAACAAGCCATTCTTTGACAAGGGTTTGTAAACTTGACTGCATGTCTAGGTGCTTGATTTTATACACCAGTGGCAAAGGATCTGAATGAAACACCAGATTTCAATGATCAAGAGGTGTGTCCCAAAAGTTTTGTCCCTATAATGTATGTCTGTAACATAATCAGTTAAGTATGCATGTATATGCGGACAGATACAGCAACATTAAAAACCAATATTATTCTGAAAATGGCAATTCATTTCAAGTTTTTGGTCATTTTTGTAACTCCAGTGAAGGCAGTAACACTTTTATTTTTATTTTATTTTTTTACTGTGAGCACTCTGCTGAAGCACTTTATCTACTTTAGGTATCATGCCTGAAGATAAGAGGATTTATTCAGTGAATAAAGTCTAAACTGAATTATCTGTAACAAACCCTGACCTCACATTTTACCAGGATTTTTAGCTGCCTGACACAGTCCACCGTTAAATCATCATTTCGACCACAAAGTGTCGATGTGCCATTCAACAAAAACATTAACACAATTCATCGATTTATCCAAGTACATTTGGCCTTCAGCATACAGTACGGTTGATGTAAATTTGCAGATTTATCACTCCATTTGTTTAATGATTTTTCACTTGTTTATTGGGCAAATTTGCAAATACCTTTGGTACAAGGCTGGATGTCTGTATTGTTTGATGATGTAACCTGAACAATATAATCACCATCATTCTTAACTCATTTTATAGCTTTGGAGCTGGGTGTGATACTGTATCACATGACAGCCGATCAGTCCTGTGATTACTTCACAAATGGGCTTGAAAGCATTGTTACTCTGTTTACATGATAATTCATACTTACCTCATTAAAAAAAACAAAAAATAGAAATATTTCAGACGTTTTGGTCTGGTTTTAACCTTTTGAATGTGGTTGTTATGTAATTGTTTTAAGGAATAAATATCAAATTCATTCATTCATTTTCCATACCTGCTTGACCTGTGCCCGTTTGGGGGTTCCGGAACCTAAACCCGCGGAAACAACTGTCGTAAGGAACGGAACATTCCAGAACGGGGCGTCAAACCATCGGAGTAAACATTATCGTATAAAAATATGATTCATGTAGGCCTAGTAAAATTCCAAAGTATTAAATATAGGCCTATGTGATTCATTTTCAAATAACGTTTCAAAGATCTTGTGCTTTGTGTATTGTGCAGTTAACGGCGTACGCAGGTATTTATGTCCACATTACATCTTGCATATGAATGGAAAATTTAATTGACTGTCTTAGAGTCTCTCCTAAAGTAATCGCCCGTTGGGTTCCAGATGGCAGCACACTAGAAGATACAAATGTTCCTGAATAACAAGACTTGTTTTCCCAAACACACCTTCGGAATGTATGGAGTTGTCGTAAGCTATGTGGGGAAAAAAGTCTATAACATGTATTTTAAATCTATTAAAGACGAGATCATATGTTTATTATTATTATTATTATTACTTTCGGAAGCCGGATTTTCCTCTATACAATTTCAGTTTCTGAACTGGTGAATTGTAATCGATGGGAAATAATATAAATGGGTCAAATTAATTAATATGTTGGAAACGTACGCTCTGATAATCCGTCTTCCCTAAGCTGTCTTCCGTAACAGGAAAAAAGCGGGATAATGTGCGAAATTCAGACGGCATTCAAACGCCGATGTAATGGCTTGTGCCATTTAAACGTGTTGAAGCCATAGAAAATTAGGTTAAATGAAAGTTATTTGAAAAGTCGGTTATGTTAAAAAAGACGAGCGTTAACATGACAGATGGCTACACAGATAGCAATTATGGGAGCATTATATAAACGGCATTACTTTACATTACTTAGGCAATCGATACTGTCTACAATGCATCCTCTCAGTTTAGAAAGGTATTTTTGTTGTTTGTTTTAGATGGTGCCTTCATAGTATGTCAAATCTGTTATGAAAATTTAAACGCGACGTAATAATAATAATAATAATAATAATAATAATAATAATAATAATAATAATGGAGCAGCCTACATTTATATGCTCCTAAATGACAGTAAACATCCCTTCATTCTTGTCCTAAAGGGGCATAACGGTCCCTTCGTCATAAATGTGATAGGGGGCGACGAATAACAGCATCAGTAAATGATTTCCAGCCGGAGATCTGCCCGGACTGAAGGGAGCGCTTGGTTGCGCTGGCCAACCTGTTATAAAGCCCGCAGCTGATCAGCAGCCTGCAGAAACGCGAGGAGGCGCCGCTCCGGGACCGGAAGCCAGCGCTCTTTAAATGTGGCTTCTTACGTAAATGGGAGCGATCAGCACATCGGGCTGCATGTGAAGCGGTGAAGCGGAGCCTGCATGGGACCAGAGTGCCTGTGACACAGCGATATCTGTGCTGCTTCATAACGGAGGCACGGAGCCTCACTGCGGGAACCTGCGGCTCGGAGGGGGAGCTGTCCGGTACTGTCCAGGATTGTCAGTTGCTGTCCGTTCTGTACTGGCGCTGTCCGGTGCTGTCCAGGGCTGTCCGGTGCTGTCCAGAGCTGTCGGGTGCTGACCGTTGCCGTCCGGAGGATTTCGGTGCCGTCTGGAGATTTTCGGTGCTGTCCGGTGCTGAAGTTGCGCTTCTGCCGCCCGGAGAGACGCGCCACAGCAGATCAGCTTCGCCCCGGTCCTGTGCTGGCATTTCAGCCACGACACGCCGAGACCACTCGGTGTTGAAGCCCCTTTAACAGCGGTGCATGAGGAGGAGGAGAAGAAGAAGAAGAAGAGCCGAGAGCGAAGGAGCGCTTCGTGCAGGATTAAAACATGCCGAGGTCTTTCCTGGTGAAGAAGGTGAAGCTGGATGATTTTTCATCTGCTGATATCGTGAGCTCATATGGAAGATCCAGGACCGACCTCAGCCTGCGTCTTCACGAAAAAGGTGAATCACTGCTTAAATGTCTTACTTAATTTGTAAATTTTGATTTCAGACAACTGTGGTGCATGCAGCCCATTTGACCATAGCTGTTAATGTGTTGCATTTGACGTGTCATACTTAATGCGTTTATATTTTAGTTTTTAGTGGGAAGTTCATTACCTAAGCAGCCAAGCCGCAGTTAACAGTCATTCCCAGAGCATTACTACCTGTATAAAACCTTATATCATAAGACGGTGACTCATTTCATTTTATTTATTTATTTTTCAATGTAATCTATTTCACCAGTACCGTTTGGCCTTCTTTAGTACGTTTTTAGTCAAAATAACATTTGCTTCCAACTATTAAAATAAATACCATGAGTTAGCCGTAAACTTCTCTAAAATTTACAAATGAACCTACCGTAAACCCGCTAAAGATCTCTCAGTGAATGTACTTCTCTGATGTATACAATTTTCAGTGAGTCTTGATTTTTACTAGAAACGTCGCACATTCAAATAACACTGGGTTAATTTCGCGTGTAAATGCCACAAAGGCTTACTCGTATTTCATTGCGTTGCGATAATAAACGTGCTTCTCACGTCTCCGGTTAAATCCCACCCAGAAAGTTATTAGTGCAGTGTGCCCTTATTTATGAAGAGTTAATGGATTCGTAATGTATGAACCCTTTAAAGTATTTTCTGAATGCCGATTACAACAAGTAACGGGGTACTTCATTCGACCTTTCTGTGTCCTTAAAGTACGTATAACGCTGCCTGAGACAGGATAACAGTTTATACAAGTATAAAAAGGTCGATTGTAGGATTACTTTGACTGTTAATAGAATTTGTTATCATGCATTTTGCACAGGAGAGTAAGTAGGGATGTGAGCCACTTAGTTAACCCCTTTCGTATGTGAGGAACTGACTGGCGCTCCTGTCCTTCTGCGTGCCAGGGTACATCAGCGACTACATCACCCCGTCTGTTTACGATGGTGACAGCGACAGCGCCATTAAAGTGCCCTCCCCTGAGCCCCTCTACGTCGGCATGCACAGAGATTACGGAGCGCCTGACTCGGACCAGCCCGACAGCCCGCAGTCAGAGATCACGTCGGGCTACATCAACGGCGATGCCGCCGTCAGCGAAGGCTACACCGTGGACGCCTTCTTTATCACGGACGGCCGATCGCGCAGGAAAGTCGTCAGCAGCCCCCGGACGGTACAGCGGCACACGTGCAGCGAGTGTGGAAAGACGTACGCCACGTCGTCCAACTTGAGCCGGCACAAGCAGACGCACCGCAGTCTCGACAGCAAGATGGCCAAGAAGTGCCCAACTTGCGGCAAGGTGTACGTCTCCATGCCAGCCATGGCCATGCACCTGCTGACCCACGACCTCAAGCACAAGTGTGAAATCTGCGGCAAGGCGTTCAGCCGGCCCTGGCTGCTGCAGGGACACATGCGCTCACACACGGGCGAGAAGCCCTTCGGATGCGCTCACTGCGGAAAGGCGTTCGCGGACCGCTCCAACCTGCGGGCGCACATGCAGACGCACTCCGCCTTCAAGCACTTCAAATGCAAACGATGCAACAAGACCTTCGCCCTCAAGTCCTACCTGAACAAGCACTACGAGTCGGCGTGTTTCAAAGGCTCCTTCTCGCCTCTGAGTCCACTCGAAGCATGACTCCCTCACTAAAAACATACAGAACCTTATTTCTCATTCATTTTTTTGTTTTCTGTGAAACCTGATGATAGCACAATTTCTTCAGTCATGAACTTTGAACTGAGGGAACCGTTTTGCATGTAACTACAGGAAACTAACTTTTTCTCCAAGGGGTCTCTATAATACAATCTTTAGAACTTAAATATTATTAATTTTGTTGGAAGACTATAAAAATGTCTATTTCTCACAAAGGTCAAACTTTTTTATTATCGGATAATATTGTACTGCTGCCAGTGACCACACAGCATTCATCATCAAGGTAAAGCTATTTATTTATCAATTTATTTACTTATTTGTTTGTTTATTTATTTGCCCATTGTTTTTTGTCAAACCATATCAGATCTTCATTTGCACTTTATCATTTCGCTAAGCCCTCACCATTAAAATGCCAAAGCTTTTGTCACTTTTTAAACAATTCCTTTCTTTTATTCAGTTAATACCTTTTTAAAGTTATTGCATGCAAAAAAAAAAAAATAATAATAATCTATGCCAATCTTATGAAGCTTTTGATTTTGCCAAAACCTAGATAGAATCAGTGGGCAATATTTCTTGGAAGACTCACAAGGAAATACACAGCAATAAATACTTAATGCATGGTACTTTTTAAAAATTAAAAAATAGTATCTATAATAACACTTTTAAAAATCAGGTATGGTTTAATCCAGTATTCTTATTAATCACACAAAGACAATATCAGGGAAAATGCCAATGTAGTGTTAGGAAATCACCAATTAAACATGAAAAGAGAATCTTCCTTTGGTATATGGATATGCACTGCCTGCCTCTTGTTTAAAGTAGCTTTAGGATGTAGGCTTCTAGTGCTGAGCAATCAGCTCCAAGCAATTCAGTTTCTCCAGATCTGAGAAAACCCCACTGAGGCAACAATATGGGCGCTCAGGCGATAATAACGTCACTCAGAAAGGACATAATCGCAGCAATGAGAGCTACTCTCGAACCAGACATGTTGCACTGTAATCCGATTGTGAGAAAAGATGCCTTGTTTTAGCCACGTGGAGGGTCCCCTAAGGTTTGCTTAAAAGCACTTAGAATATACTTCCAACTTTAAAAGTAGCACAAAACCCTATAGATTCAGGTAGAAGGAACTTGATAGCTTGACCTCTGTTTTTGTATCAAGAATAAAAATTAAATAAATGTTAATTGCAAAATGCTTGTAAGGAATCCTTTGGAATTTAGCATTTTTACTGTACCTGCGGAGAATCGAGGTGTCTTCTTTCTGGGGTACAAACATTTCCTGCAGAGTTTTGAGCCAGTATTCAATGGTGTAAGCACAATGACACTGGGGATTCTGTTGCACTTCATAATAAAGAATAAATAAAGACTCCATGGTCATTCTTTCTTTGTACTGTTTAGTGTACAGTGTATGTTATTGCAAACTGCAATTTTTCAAAGGACGAGGCATGCCGACACTGCATGGAAATCCTCAGTACATGCGGCAATTGTAGCAGTCAGACTTGGGTAAGATGCATTGAACCCACTTCCCTAAGCAGAGGGGATGAGCATCTACAAGTGCAGGCTTCCTCATCGCCATCTCCTTTCCTTCCTTATGCCTTTCAATGAGATCTGTATAGTCAAAATAAATGTATCACGGAATACCAAGCTTTAATACCACGAGGATATTGTGTCATTATGTTTTTTTTTCTTTTCCTGGGGGGTGGAGGGTGTGATCTGGTCGTTTGATTTAAACCAGTTGCAAGTTAATGTCAAACCTATTAAATCTCCAAGCAAGATGACTATTTGTGCTAATAGCGAACATGGACAGCATGTTTCAAGACGCTTAGCTAAATTTGGTGAGGTGTAATTAGTTTTCCAAGATGATAGTTATTTAATGGTCCCAGTTGCTTCTGAGAAGAATATGGGCTGTTCAGACTGACCCCAGTGGCTTGATGAGTAACTTCTGCAGCTCTCCATGGATCAGTGATCAACCGTTAACATGGTTGTAGCTTCAGAGCTAACAGGACTCGACACTGAGCTTTGGGATGCTTATCACATTTTCTTTTGATTTTCTTTTTTCTTTAAATGGAAGAATATAAACAACAGGTTTTACCAGGTTGAAATGCCCGTGCGTGCGCCACGCTCCTGATGTCACAGTTCTTCTCCTCACAGCAGTTACGCTACCGTGCGATGCTTAACCGGTACGTGGCTCCGTGGGAGGCCGTGCCCTTGATCAGAAGGTCGCTAGTTCAAATCCCAGGGTTGGTGGAGTGATCTCACCGTTGGGTCCCTGAGAAAGACCCATAACCCCCCCACTTGCGAGGGAGACTCTGCCAATTAAACGTCACTTTCAATAAAAGAGTCTGCTATATGAATGAAATGTGAAGGGATGAACATCTGCGAATAAGGTCACGTGAGGGATGTCAGAAGGTCACGGGATGCTGCGTGGTTACGATCCCTTGTATATTCCTCTCGACGAGAATGCAGCCTGTTATTTCCCAAAATGATACCTAATGAGAAGGAAAATGGCACCTCTGTATGAGTATCCCAGACATCGATGGTATCGAGTCAGTCTCACCATTCTAACAACCTTCAAATGATGTCTGACACTCTGGTTTGTGTTGGGTGTGAGTTGATGCTTGCGCTTTATTGTTGCGTCTATGCCATGAGGTGACAGCATCCTTATGCCTCTTCATATGACACTGGGGGGAGAGGGGGTTCCCCCTATAGACAGGGCGGTGTGCTTTATGACACCCTGGTACTCCAGCACACATGGGGGCGGGGAGGTTCCCCCTTTTGCACGGCGACTGTGAGGCTTTCTGACAGTCTGTCACCTCAGCGTGACCTTTTTCAATAAGCCTGATGTCCCAGATTCGTCACCCCTGAGTTCCCACTTCCATAAATTATGTTTTCTCAGAGTCGTCAGCTTCCTGCGATATTGCTGTCTGCTACAGGGAGAAACCTCTGCTTGCTTTGTCTCCAGAGCTTTGGGTAATTGTGTTAGCAGGACTGTGTCAGCAGAATTCATTACTTAACAGGAGTCGGATAAGGCGAGGTGGGGCGGGAGGGGGCTGTGCGCATTGATCTTTCTGCGTTTACATGCCAGTCAGAGCGGTTTAAGTTCGGGTACTTCCCGCTAACGCTGGAGGCCTCTCCGTGCTCTCTGCTCCTGTGATGTCACACAGATGAAGCACTGCTTCTCTCCCTGTCCCAGTTTGTGCTTCAGCAGAGCAGGATCACTGGAATTACGGGGGGGGGGGGGGGGGCATACTTGCGGCTGTCTAATCACAGACACGTAGGCTCCCCTCGGCCCAACCTTTGACATCGCAAGCCCTGTGATGAGCAGCCCCACCTGTTGGGCACGGGTTTGGGACGGCGCTCCCGGCTACCATTAGCAGAAACCAATTAACCCCAGAGAGTTCTGCGATTGGCCCTGCTTGTTTCACTTTACATATTTCTGGTTCCCTTTATGGGACAGCTTCTTTGGAAATGTTGCTTAGATTTGGGGATAAATTTATCGACGGAGCCAGTGTCACCTAGAACACAGCTCGCTGCTCTAAGTTAGCCAGCCAGGCTATAAACACAATCATTTTCCCCTGCCAGGCAATGGTCGTCTGTAGCAGCGTACCTAGACGCCAATGAGCTCTTAAGCATTTTCTATTGCTATTGAAATCCATCTCTCTAAAGACACAGCCTAGCTACTAATTGAGAATTTAAAAATCAATGTACAGCAGTGTCGCTGGTGCTTTCAGACATTGAGCCCCCAGCCGAAATGATTCTTAATTTCCAGCCCGGTGAAGGCAGAAGTCGAGCTGCACGAAAGGTATAAAAGCCTAAAGATATAAAAACACGGTGTGAGTGGCGCTCGCTTTCAGGTGCTGGGGAACGGGGAGTTTCAGGTCTCATCAGGCACGATGAAATTCTCCATCTTCTCCCTGACGACGCAGATCGCCCGTCGCATTTCACGGGGGAATCGACGATCCGCAGGAAGCGCAGGGGAAGGCCGGGAGCACTGCAGCTCAGCGCAGACGCAGGCAGAAAGCGCTTCGAGAGTGCGGGGCGGGACTGATGACCCAGTTTGGATAACATGCAACAGAAGCAGCTTGCAAGGTAGCACAGCTACTACCCCCCCCCACACACNAGCAGCTTGCAAGGTAGCACAGCTACTACCCCCCCCCGATCAGCTGAAACAATAAGCAGCTGAGCAGCCTTGCTGAGTAGCTCACTTTCAGCAGCTACTTCTGTGCCCAAAGGCAGCAGCATCCTGCATCTATTGCAGCTTATTGCGCACGTCAATAATTAAAATCACTATTAACCTCTTAAGCAGCGCTAATCCGGCATGTCTCTCGTTTCAAGCAACAGGAGACAGATACCATCCGACAGAGATATTTCAAAGAAGCATAGACATTGTTTGAGCGTCGGCCCGGAGGACAGGAATGTGTAATAAGTCAGAGAGCCTGGCTGAGTCATAACACGCTGGAGGAGATGGGAAGTTCTCACTCACCGTGGTAAATGGTTATTTCATGCTAATTTTTTTGTAATTTCCCGCAATAGTAACGCACGACACTGGCTGCGCACCGTAACGTCAAAAACCACGCCTTGTGCACTTTTTAAAACAAAATCGTGAACGAACTTTTAAAAAAGATGTATAACTCATATATGCTGCTTTGTCATGTAAATTCATGCCTGCTGACACTGTTACAGCCGACCCCCCCCCACCAGGCGAATGGTAGACTGACGATGACAATGATGAGGATCCAGTTACAAAGTGGCCCGCTTTGCCTGATGCCTGTAAAATCAGCCTGTCAGCCTACATAAACCAGACAAGGACAATACACCTAGCCTTAATAATTCACTGTTTCCTACAGCAGAGTGAGTATTTTTTAGCTAGGATCATTCTTGTATTTGTGTGTGAAATAATCGTTTGCCACTTCTGCACTGCAAGCTGGGTGAATCAGCTGTTTGTGGGCATCGTGCGTGACTGAAAATCTGCAAAGTCAGGATTCTGCAGCATTTAAGTCTTTACAATTAAAATCATACACATCTACAAGTATTTGTATGCATTTTTCCCGCATGCGATTGGGTGATTATTACGTTTTCTGATTTTCTTGTTCAACATGATGCTTCAGTTTAAATGGTCAGTCACATGTCAAATAGTTCTTAAATTATGATATTAACATCAATTAAATTAAAAGATTTTATTGATCAACTGACATACATGGTTCATTTTCTGTCACTACAGTTGTTAGCAACTGGCTATTACATTTTTTTTCTGAATGACATGTACACTCAATAAAAATGATTTACGGCCAGCGTATAGTTTCATGATTTTACCCAGATTATTCCTTTCACCATATGTGGCTCGACCTTTCTCTGATATACAACCATGCTTAGAGTGTACAAGTTTCTTTTACTTTTGCCCCAAATTTTCATACACTAGAGTTCTGAATATAATTCATATTCAATGAGAACAAGGCCTATAATCTAAAAGAGACCAAGCATAACAAATGTGTAGCTATAACAACTGATTGTGAGCAGCTGCAGCGAATTTATAGGCTGCTGGAGGGACACTTGCATTCAGCAGCAATTTTCTCAGCGCTCAGTGTGACAAACTAACAAACCGAAACACGAGATGACAGGGTACAAATCGACGTAGTTGTAGCGTCGGAAGCCTTCGATCAGCTAGTCTGTATGCCAGTCTTCTTTCCATAAATGATCTCTCACCTCCAAAAAAAAATCAGCATTGTAAACGTTTAGATATGTAGAGTAAGCAAATGGCTTCCACAACGCATGCAGAACCAAAAATAACATGACCTGCGCTGAAAATGGAAATGCAGCAGCAAAGCGACAGCATGTAGCCATGCACCGAAACAGCAGTTGATGGATGACAGCATGTACCAAGTCTCTGCCCTGTTTTGCTGTTGTGCAACCAGGCTTTTCAAAAAGGTGTTAAAAATTGGACCCGAGCCGCCTCTTCCGGCACTGTTTGTTATTTCGTGTAGCACAGTGGCATCGTTCTGCCATGCCCAAACAGGCTTAAACAGACCGTCTCCTCTGCAGCAGGGGATTTGGTCATGAGTCTCATCGCCATCCCCATGATAAACATTACATAACGAACCGGGATTGTCTGCCCACTCTGGGATCGTTTAGCCAGCCTGCCCACAAGCTGCCTCTTCGTCCTGATGACCCTGGGTGAAGAAGAGCAGATGTGGGCGTCTTCAGGAGACCCAAAGAAGCTCGGGGGGGGGGGGGGGGTACCACAGAGGGAGGGACTCTATACAGGGGTCACACTCAGGGGGTTTGAACACAAACTTGTATTATGACATAGGGTGTGTTGACGACTCCTTTTATGCGTGATTATATTTCTGATTCTCCATCCCTAAATCCCCA